GCCCAAGGTGATCCCCAGCCGTTCGCTTCATTTTGAGGGCTCATGGGGGGGGTGCTCTGGAGGCCGTGGGGACCTCCCTGGTGATCCTGGGGGCACTTTGGTCCATGGACGCCTTCAGCAGCACGCGGCTTGCCCATTGGGGTGAGCGGGTCCCCAGTCAGGTCCTCGGAGCTCGGAGCCTTTCGCCTGCTTTGTGACTCGCTGCGTCACCCGTGGGGGCGCGGAGAGGACCGCGTTTCGCGCTCGGCGGCCTGGGCAAGCGAGGTAATCCTCCTCAGGAGGGCCAGGGCCCGTTGAGTCAACGATAGTTGGCCTTCGGGGGCCCCCGTCGTCGCCACGGCTGGGCGCAGCTCGGACAGGCTCGTGTGCTTGGTCCCTGGGAGGGTCCAGGGACCGATTTTGAGCTGCTGCTGTGTCAGCTCGCCCTCCTCCCATCCTCTGGGTCGGCGGCGTCGGGGGGCGCGAAGGTGGCCGCAGATTCGCGCATGGCTCGGCGCGAAATGTCTACGAGGCAGGGCGGCCCAGGTGCATTTTTGTCAGTTTGTCCGCTCCCATTTCCAGGTGCCCCGCGCCGCGTCGTCGCGGCAGCGACCCCGCCGCGGGCGCGGGCGTTCAAGGGTTGAAAGCCGCTAGCACCCCAGACTCCGCCGGCGTCGAGCGATCTGCGCTGTCGGAAAGCCGTCCAATGTTGAGCGGCCCACGCGGTGTCAGAGCCCTCCTCCTCCTCCTCATCCTCCTCTTCCTCCTCCTCCTCCTCCTCCTCCTCCTCCTCCTCCTCCTCCTCCTCCTCCTCCTCCTAACGGTTCACGCGGTGTCATAGACCAGCGCTGGGGTCGTCATGACACGAACTTGCCGTAGGGAGGCGGGCGCAGAGGGGCTCGGAGCTCTGGGCGGCTGCGTCGCGGGAGCTCTGCGTTCGGAGCTCTGTGGTTGTGCCGGCCCCGTGGGGGCTGTCTTCGGGCCCGGGGTCTTCGAGCTGGCCTGGGGGCGTTAGAGGTGAGACATCCCTGGCGCCAGCTGTCAGGGAGGGGGCAGTGGCGCCCTGGTGCACGGGCTTCGTTCCCCGCCCTTTGTGGGCAGCCTTCTCCATCCAGATGGGCATCGGATTTCGAAGTTGCGCCCTTTCTCTTCCTGACCGGCTCTGCTGGTGCCCGTCCAGAGCAGACCCCTCAGCCGCCTCCAACTCGGGACCATCCAAAGCGGTGGTCCTTGAAGCACAGGTGTTCGCTGGGACAGAGACGAGAGCTGCCAGGGCCCACGTCGTGAAAGCACCACGACGCCAGAGGTCTGAGGACTGGGGGGACGGAGGCAGCTCTGGCATTCTCCTCGGCCCCGCTCGCGCGCGCGCCGCCCGAGAGGCGGAGCGATGCCGTGGGCTCGGAGCTCGCGGGGTGTGTGTGGGGATTCGTGGAGCGTCGCTGGGCTCTTACCGTCCTCCGCGCCCCTCGCGCTTCTCACGACCGATTGCTCTCGATCTCCTCGCGGCCTGGACACCGAGGGGCGCTCCCATGGATACGCGATCCCACGGATGCGTCCGGCGCGGGCACGCCCGCGCCACGCCGCCCTGTATATCCATGGGGCCGCGGCCGACTTGTCCAAGTCGCGAGGCCGTGTATATGGATATGATAGGGTGCATGGGGGATTCAATTCACCATCGGCGCTGGTATACATCCCCATGTAGCTTGATCCACCATAGTCCCGTTGAGTTCTGCTGACCCCCCATCGGGCTGAGTCGGGCTTACTCCTGGGCTCAGTCTGGACTGGTCTGGCGGAATTGCCTTCGATGGGACTAAATCGCCCTTCATCGTTCCGGCGAAGACCTCCCAGGAGTTGTCTCCGAAGATATGCTTCCCGCCCGCGGTCTCCACCCTCCTCCCTCGCCTTGCCCCCGAAGAGAAGTGGAGGGGGGGGGCGGTGACCTGCTGGACGGGCAGGCCGCTGCCGCTGGTCTACGGTGTCTCCCGCCCCGGCCCAGCGCCGCCAGCCTTGGAGGGGAAGGGGCTGGTGCGTCGACCCGTCTGGCCTTCCCGCTGCGGCGGAGGCCCCAGGCTAAGGCCTCAGGTCTGTATTTTGTCGGTTTGCAGTCCTGGCGTTTTTTCCCTCCATTTCGGCCTTTGGGGCCCGTTCTCGGGCCCCAGGGCCACCAAACGTGGATCTCGGACGAAAACTCGGGCGGGGCTAGGACGAGGTTTCAGAGCGTTCCGGAACGCTCGCAGAGCGCTCTGAGAAGGCCGTGGTGCCCGAGACATCCTCCAGAGCCGCCGGATCTCAGAAACTTTCGATTTTCAGTCAACCGGCATCGTAAGGATGAACAACATTCCGAGGCTACCCTTGCATCCTTCCCCTGGTCTGCGCCCCGCTCGCAGAGCGTCGACACGGCCTTCCAAGGCCCTCGCATCCTCATCGCGCGCCTTTCTTCTACGGGCCAGCTGTCTGCTCACCCGAACCTATCCTCGTCCTGGCTTCGTCTTCCCCCTGGGTCGGGATCCCGCAAAGAGGTGTGTGTGTGTGTTCCCCGGTGTGTGTGTGTGTGTGTGTGTGTGAGTTCGATTGGTTGTTGCATCGAACCGCCCAAAACAGATGCGCCCCAGCCGCCGGCAGCTCCCGATAGTTGCGGATAGGTGGGGCATGCGTGGGGCATCTGTTCGCGGCAGTTCCGTGCACCAGCGGATCGAATTCATGCCCCCCCTCGGGGCCCCCCCCTGGTGGATCCCGACTGGGGCAGCGGAACAACATGGACGGACGGGTCGGCGGATGTCAGGGGCCGAAGGCGTGAGGCGGGCGGCCCCTGCGTGCCCCGCGCGGCTGCACCGATGCGACCGGGGCCGTGCCGCCGCGGCGCGGCAGCGGTGCAGTCCGCAGAGGGGAGTCAGGCCGTCGAAGTCTGGAGGTAAGGGTGGGTCACCGTCCCAAGTTCGGCGGCGAG